AAGCTGGGTATGGGAGCCTCTTTGACTCACAGGCCAAGTGTGCTAACCCCCACCCAAACGCAATCCTGGCCCTGGCAAGAACTCCCCTTCCTCCATCCCTGTAGATCTGTGAGCCCCTACCTCCACCTTGGCCCTAAATACGGGTCAAAAAGCAGAGAGAGAAGGGTGAACTTCTACCCCAAACCCAGGACAACTCCATGGGCATCAATGTGTTTCCAAAATCAAGACTGGAGAGAAGTGAGGGTAGAAATCTAAGAGGCAGGGAATTGAAGAGGATTCCCCAGGGTGAGGGTGCAGGAAAGGGAACCTGGAGACCCCCTCTGCTCCATCCCAACTCTCCCCTCCCCCTAGTGGGTCCCTTGGTAGACTACTTAGTAGGTAGGATGCCCAGAGGTGCCAGGGACTAGGCGTTGTGTATGTGCTGCGAATGGGTCAGAGGCTTGTGAGGGTCTGGGAGAGGGTCTGCGTGGCTGGCCCGGCTGCCTCTGCTGACAAGCTGTCTACGAAGAACGTAATTCACGGTGGTCGATGGGCTCTTTGATTAGTTCAATCGCCTGAATAATCGTTTAATCAATAAAGCATTTCATTCCTCAGCCAGGCGGGCCTGGGTGGGGCTGGGGGCCCCTAGGCTGGCCAGGGTTTAAAAATCTGGAGAGCCACGCCCCTGCTTCCGGATGGATTGAGGTAAGGGCAGCCTGCCCGGGAAAGGGCGGACAAGACATCTCAGGTGACACCGCACTTCCGCCAGTCTGCACCAGCCTGGGCCCTGGTTGGGGAAGAGGAGAGAGCTGAGAAGCTGGCCAGGCTGGGGGAGTCCAGGTCTGGTTTTTGAGTTTTTGCGTGGGCTTCTCCCCTCTCCCAACTTCGAGGCCTTTTATGGGCCACTTGACCTCCCTTTCCTTCCTTTAGAACTGTATTCCATTCCTTCTCTCCACCTCAGTTTCCCTTTCTGTACAATGGGGAAGGAGTATGTGCCCTTCTAGCTCTAAAATAGCGTGAGGTCAGCCCTAAGCAGGGAGCCACTTAAGGATCCTCTTGTCTAGCCTCTTCGTTGTGGTACCCGAAAGGGAAAAAAGAGAGGGGCAGGGACTTGTCTGAGGTCATCAGCAGGAGATATGGAGGGAGCAGGACTGGAGGCGACTTCTCTGCCCTTAGACTTCTCATTCCTGCTGTGGGACGAGGTAAAGCCCCAGCCCCACCAGCCCCCTGGGAGAAACTACTATTGGATAAGCTTGCTGAGGAGGGAATGAAGGAGTCCCACGGCCAGGGAGAGCAGGATAGGCTGGACACTGTCTGATGGACCTTGACATCCAGGCCTCAGCTCTGGACTGAGTCTGGTGGCATGACAACAATACTCCCACCCTGGACCTTCGTCCTTCAGCACCTCCAGAGGCCTCCTCTCAGGGCTTCCTCTCCCCCTTCCACACACAGGGAAGCTGAGCCCTAGGAGAAGACCCCCCTCTCCCCAAGTCTTCGGAGAGAGAAAGGTAGTCCCAGAGCCCCTGGCCTTCGGGGTTTGCTGGTAATGATAAGAAACTCGGAGAAAGGCAGTTTACACAGCGCTTGAAAAATCTGGTTAATTCTCCCCTTTTTTCACCCACTTCAAAGATTCCTACAAACAGACCTGGGTCAGGCAGAGCAGACCCCTGATCCAGGCGCAAGAGTACGCAGGAATCAGCTCTGACCCGACTAGCTGTGTAGCTTCGGGTCTCTTTGATGCTTTTACAACGAGGGTTAGAGAGGATCCACTGAGTTGGACGGCACGGCCGCGGCTTCTCTGACTGTCTTGAACTGAGCGACCAACCTGAGCCCTGCAGGCCTCGCTTTGCCCAAAGCAAGAGCAGAGAAATGGGCTGGACGTGGGCTGCGGGAGCTGATCTCAGGGCCGCAGAGCGCAGCGGCAGCCCCAGCCCCTCCCCGCCGCGGGCGGGGAGGAGAGAAGGGGAGGCGCGGGGGTGGGGGTGGGGGTGGCGCCGTGTGTTCCGAGTGATGCCAGGTTTGCGGCTCAAGAGGGGACCTTCTCGGAAGGTGTTACATGATTCTCAATGGGCTTTCTTTCAATAGCAAAACTTTCCAAGGCAGTTCGATTTACGTAAATTGAGTTTCTTCCGAGATGGTTTCCTTTCTCGTCTCCTGCCTCCAGCGCTGAGCACAGGGCCAGGCCCAAAGTCATGCTGCTGGGAGAGCGCACCCCCGCGACCGTGGCGCCCCGCGAGGCTCGCCCGCACCCAGCCCCCCGCTGGCCTCTCTCCTGGGCCCAGACTCGTGGGCTTCAAGGGGCGGGACCGAGGCGCGGAAGCCCAGCTCCGTCAGGGAATCGCTGTGTAATCTCGGGCGGGTCACGGAACTTCTCTGGGCCGCCGTTCGGTGGCCTGTGAGGCTGGGCTGGGCGGCCAGGATATCAGGTCTGGTGGCGCCTCTTGGCGTTAGAAGTTCCCGGAGGCCTGCCGCTCGGGGCGGTGGATAACCCCACCCAGAGCGGAGTCCCTCTACCCCGCGCACCGCAGGGTGCGGAAGGGGCTGCTCTCTCGCACAGGTTGGGCAGACCAACACCGCCCTGAAGCCGAACGCCTTCTGTGTGAAACGGGAATCCGAGCTGTTCCTGTTCAGGCAACGTCTGCGGTTCCGTCCCACCCGGCAGCGCTCCGGGCATTCTGTCCAAGCCGCACCGGTATCTGAAGGAAGACCGGTTTGTGTTGGCATATCCTAGCTGAGTTCTTTGATTTGGCAGCATATTCCCCCCCCACCCCCCACCCCCCAAAAAAACGCCCCACCATCCTGCGAGTGGCTCTGGAGAGGCCCTTCTGAGAAAGAGGTTCCTGGCCCATAGGCTTTCTTCTACCCCCAACTTGCTCGGCCTCAGGTTCCGCATCTGTAAAATGGGGGAAAGCATAGCTTCAGGGTCCTTTTAGCTCTAACATTCTAGAATCTGAGTTTCTAGGCCTGAACTCAACGAGCGGGGCTGGAGGTGGAGATGTCACTGACTGGGTCCCTCAAGGCTTCCCCACACTCCCACCTCTCCAGTGGGAGCTCAGAGCCGCCACGTCGAAGTCGAATTCTAGTCCCTGCCGATCCACCGCGCGCCACAGGCTGGAGCGAACGCGGGAACCCTAACTCATTCTGGTCCCTCTCCGAGATTGCGATCTTCCTTGGGGGCGAATATCTGGACAGGCAGGGTTCCAGACAAAAGAGAGAGACGGCCACCCCCCCACCCCTGTGCACACTGCAGTCTCCTGGGCCCCCAGAGGCCCGCCTGGGGCCGTTTTCCGCAGCTGTGCCCTGGAGGGGGTGGGGACGCTGTCAGCGCCGGAAACTTATCTACCGTTCAGGGGCAGCTGGGTATGGGACAGGAACAGAAGGTGGCCCAAGGGCCGAGCCAGTGTAGGAGTGTGAGAAATGGGGCAGAGGTAGCGACAGGGGAGACGGAAGCAGAGAATGACCCTGGAGTCGTCCCAGGGTCAACTTGCGTTCTGTCCTTCTTACAAGCCCAGGTCTGGAGCAGGTATTTCAGACCCCCTGTTTTGGTGGATTTGTGTTTAATATTAGAGAATCATCGCTTATGAATTCGAAATGGTGGATCTTGGGACCACTACCACGAGCTGCCGGGGCAGGGGAGTCTTCAGTGTCTCTGCCAGGGCTGGGCCCTTGCACATATAGCCTCCCACAGAACTACTGCCACCTGGGTGTAGAATGGCTGTCACCTGCCTCCTTTTCAAAGTCCAGTTCCTTCGATTGTGGCCCCAGGGCCTCACACCCTGGAGAAGCTGAGACTCGCTGGTCAAAGATCCTGCCCTCTGGACCAGGAGAAGGAGAATTCTGCTAGACATCCACCCATTTTGTCTTAAAAGCGACAGGAACTTCCCCTCGAGAGGGAAGGTCAGATTTTCTCGACAGCTGAAAGCTGCAGCCTGGTAGCACGTCTGGCGCGGCTTGGCGCGGCCCTTGCAGATAGAACGCGCCCACCCGCCGGCCTGCTTCAGGGACCCTCATCAGCGCTGGACGCGACTGGGTTCGCTAGTTCCCAAGAGGCCTTGCGCCGGATCCGGAATTGCCTCTGCCGACAGAAGCCTTCACTGTGCGCATCACTAACCCCAAAAGCATCTGGCAGCTCCTGGTCTGAGGCTGGAAAGAGAGCTTCAGGGCTCAGTGCTTGGGTAGCCTGGCCCAAGCCTCAGATAGCCCTCTCCCCCAGGACACCCTGGTTACTAACTTTAAAGGAGTCTGAGATTTCTTTCCCCTCAACTTCTCTGCCTTCGGTTAGCTCAGAATTGGGGGCCCTGCAGGTAAAATGAGGGAGGGGTGGACGAGGAGGAGGCGGCATTGGCTTAGTAGGCGCTTGATAAAGTTATGAAATGTTTCCGCCGGAGGGGGCCTTCATTAAAGACTAGGTAAGCCGACTCTGCCCATTTTACAGATGAGGAAACTGAGGTCACAACGGGGCAGATGTGCGCACACTACGAGTCCATGGCGAGTCTGATGGATCTCTAATGCGTTCCTTGTTTTCCTCCAACATCCGTTTTGTGTGTTTGTTTTCCGGACTATTGCCCCACGCTCACCCCCTGACCCCCGCCTCGGCTCCCCCCAATCCCTCAGGGCGTCCCATGGTCCCCACGCCGATGCGAGGAGGCCAGGTTCCCGCGGGACCTGCTGCTGGACTCTCCAGACACTGCGTGGATCCCCTTCCCCCTCCCCCCTCCGCGCTCCACTAGGCCTTCGCCCCGCGCGTTTGTCAATGAACGTGGCGCCGCCGCCTGGGCCCCGCCCCCCATTCTCTCCCATTGCCCAGGTATCGGCTAATCAGGCGGAGCCCGCTGGTTGTTCAGCCAATGGGGCGGTGTCTCGGGCCAGGGCCGGCTACCGCCGCTCTGATTGGCTTCATGAAGCGTGATTGGCAGGTTAGCCCCCGCCCCGCCCCCGCCCCCGCCCGGAGGGAGGCTGAGCCCCGGGCGGCGCTGTCCACACGCAGCAGGTCCTGAAAGCGGCTCCGGGGCGGCGCGGTGGCGCACTGTGCGCGCCGAGCGGGCGGAGGGCTAGCGCCGGCGGCGGCGGCGCGGGCAGTCCCAGCCGACAGCCGCTCCATCTCAGCACCGGCGGGCCCGGCGGCCTTGGTGGAAGGGACCTTGCGCGCTCTCCTCTGTCCCTCGCTCCACGCCTGGGGCAGGCGCGGCGGCCGTCCCGGAAGAGGCAGCCGAAAGACAGTCGAACCAGACCCGCGAGAGAGGGCAGCGGCGCTCGAACAGTTGGTGGGCGCGAGGCAGATACTCAGGCGAGGAGGAGACCGCCGCTGCTGTCCGCATGCTGGTCCCGGCGATGGGGAGCGGCGGGGCCCGCGGGAACTTTGAAGGCAGCGGTCCCGGGGCGTGAGGGCTGCGCGCTCCCGGCGACCCCGGAGCCTCGGCCCCGGCGGCAGCGGCGGAAGCGGCTGCGAGCCGCGGGCCCCGGCGCGGCCGGAGAGGAAGTTCTGTGCAACTTCGTTCGAGACGTCGGAGAGCCGGGTGGAGAGAGGCTGAGGCGGCAGGTGCGAGGCGCAGACGCGGAGGAGCGGAGAGAAAGCATCCGGGGAGCCCGAGCGGCCGAGGAGACTCCAGAGGCAGCGAGGCCGCGGAACCAGCCTGGCAGCACGCGGGCCCCGAGCGCGCCGAGGGCTGCGTGTCCCGCGGGCCTCCCCGCCCGCTCCTGCCGGAGGCCGGGCGCTCCTGGCCGTCCCGCAGCCGGGCCTCTGCGCTATGCCCCCGGGGCTGCGCGCGCCTTGGCCGCAGCTACCCCGGGCCGGGTCCGCAGCCGCCGCCTGAGCCAGCCCGGGAGGGAAGCCGCAGGAGCTGGGCGCCCGCTCGCAGCCGGACTGCACTAGCGCCTTCCCGCCTGCGGGCGCAGCAATCGGCGATCTCCGGCCCGGCGGCTCTGAGAGAGGCCCCGAAGCTCCAGCGGCGTTGTCTGAACCCAGCTCGCACAGTGCCTGGCCTGACGGCGCGGCTCCCTAGCGGCGCTGGGCAGCCCCTTGGCGCCGGGAGGCGGCGGCGTGGGCCGGCCTGCAGTCTGGAGCGCCCCGATGGAAATACACTGTAAGCACGACCCGTTTGCATCCATGCATAGTAAGTAGGCGGCGAGCTCGCTTCTCTCACTCTCCGGCCGGGACGGGGTTGGGGATGCCGGACCGCGGGGCAGGTACTAAGGCCGGGGGGACCCAGGACTTCTGTATTCGCGCAGTCAAGTTCGCAGCGTGCAGGGCTCCCAGGCGGGGCATGTGGAACAACGCGCCTAGTCGCCCGGGCCGGAGCACCTGGCGCCCGGAATCCCGCCTGCAGCAACGCGTAGTGTAGGCAGCGAGCTGCAGCCTTTGGTGGGCTGCGGCAGCGACATCGCAGCTGCCGGGAGAAGCCGGGCTCAGACCCGGAGAGGGCTCCGGCCGGGCTAGTTGGAGGGTACGAAGTTGTAGGGCGAGGTCAATCTGAGTCTCAGACAGCCCCCCACATCCCGACCCCGATGGCGCCTTTTTCAGCAGTAGGGCTGATCAAGACTAAGGCTTGGAGGGGAAGTGGGGCCCTGGCCAGTGCCTGTGTGTTTGTGTGTGTGGAGGAAGAGGTTGAGAGCTAAGCGAGGACACCAGGTCCAGAGCTCCAGAGGCATCCTGGAGTGGAGGAGTGGGATTTGAAAAATCAACGAAGTAGTGGTCCCTGAGCTGAGCTTCTGCCTAGAACCCGCCAGTTCATACAGAGACCCTTAAAGACACCATCAAGTCCTTCTTTGCAGGACGCTTCCCTCATGATGGCTTCTTCCTTAAAAAAAAATCAAGAAGAAGCCAATTAGTCACCATACAGGCGCCCCCGCCTTCTGAGAGACGCTGCGGGTGTAGGAGCCGGGGAAGGGTCATTTTGGGCAAGGGAGAGGCCAGCCCAGCTGCCTGACCCGCTGGGATCTGCCAGATCACCCATTAGCACAGCCTCCTGTGAGATGAGCACTTCTCTCACGGTGAGTTAACACTGGATTAGATTTGGAGAATTCGAGGAAATTCCAAGTGGAACGAATCGCGTTTCCCTCAGGCACGCTGCAGAGCTGGGCTGAAGCAAGGCGCCAGGCTTTGACGGCATCAAGCCAGGTGCCCAGCTCAGATCCCCCGGAGCCGCAGGTCAGGGAGTTGCTCCCCAGCTGGGAGCCCCCCCCCCCACCCCCAGCTAGCTTCCTCTCAGCCCAGGATCCTGCTTATCCAGCTGTGGGCCCCCTATTTAACAAAGGCAGCAGAGACCCGGCTGGAGAGAAGGCGAGCTTCCTCCGGCGAATATGTCCTCTTCTGCCCTGGAGCACCGAGTGGCCTGGTAAGCAGGGAAATGCCCAGGCGGCCAAGGCTGGCTGCCGGCAGGTAGTTTCTCTTTGTGTCAATTTCCCGAGTCTGAAGTAATCCACCAAAGCGGTGGGGAGATTTGCGCAGAGAACCTGCTTGCTCTGGTCCCAGCCCAAACGATTCCTCACTGTTTGGGGCCTGTGCCAAAACGGTTTCCAGTCCACGGTGACCCCAGAGCCCCCCGCAGCCGTCTCCTGTGCAGACTTGACCTGGGCTCGGCGGAGGCTCTGATCTTGCAGAGTGAGCCAGAAAACAAACGAGTTGGGGTCAATACTCTGAGAGATGGGCAAGACCTTAGCTCAGCCAAGGAGCGACTCAGGGACAAAACGGGGAGGGCTGGCCCCTGCACCTCTCCCCTTGCCAGCGGGAATCCACAGACCCTCACTGTCTTCTTCTGTGCAGAACCTGGAGGCCCAGAGGTCCGGCCGGGCCCTTGGGGAGATAGCATCAGACCTGATGGTCTCCCGGCTGTGCATGAGGGTGGAGAAGGCAGCTACTCCCAGGGGCTGGTTAGCCAACCGATAATGCATGTGTCTCTGTCTCTCCTCGTCCTGGCCTCCATCCGCCTCCTCCTCGAGAAGTGCTCCTTCCTCCCATTTTCATTCTCCCCGGCAGCCAGCGGCAGCACGGTAGGGGCTGGGCCCCAGCCAGTCTCGCTTCCAGAGCTGGCCTCTCTGGAAGTGCCCTTGGTTCTGACTCCCAAAGCTATTTGCTTGCACAATGCAGGCTTGCTCTGGGGCCCCAATCTGTTGGTCATGGGGGGCCAGTTGCACAGTAGATCCTGAGAGGTTGCCTGGGTAGTAGGGGCTCCCACCAGCTCCCACCTCCTTGTCGTCTTTTCTGGTCCTGGTCAGTTTCTTCCCCCACCCCTGTCCCCCATTGGAGCAGGACCGCTCCTGTGGGGAGGTGGTGTGGGAGAAGGGGCAGGCACTGCCAGGAAAGGGGCTTCTGAGCTTCCCTGCCCCCACCCCCTATTCCAGACTCATCATTTTCATCAGCACACTGGCCTCCCGCTCCCTCCCCAGATGTTTCCCTTCCCCAGGTATAGTTACTAGTTTTAAAGCACTTTTATAGCCAGTTTCCTACCTGAGTGTCTTCTAAACCTTCAGCTACACCCATTTTACAGAGTATGATGCTGAAGTCGGAGAGACAAAAGGACAGACAGGACGTTCACATGGGCAAAGTTGGAGCTGGTTCTTGGGTCTTCAAGGAGTCACAGAAGGGGAGAAGGAGGGACTCAGATTCCAGAGAGAGGGCAGTGGACTGTCTGGGTGGGTACCCACATGTGTGAGGCGCTCTCTCTGTCTGGTTTAACTCTGTCTGTATCCGTGGCCCGACTGTCCATGTGTGTCAGTGCCTGTCTGACAGAGTCCGTTAAGGAGGTTTCAACCCTGCCCTTTCCCTGTGTTCCTGTTTGCATGTCTGTGTGTCCCTTCATTCATCCTCTTTGGTGTCGCTAGGAGGAATTACAATGACCCTGTGGGTCCTGGTGTCCAATCTGCGGCTGAGTCAGTAGACCCTCTCCCCAAGACCCTATGCCCAGCCATGGTCTTTGGGGTGTGGACAGGCTCCTGGTGGGCAGCATGTCCTTACCAGGGCCCAACGAGCATTTGTGGAGGCCAGCCCCTTCCAGACCAGAGCCACAAAGGCCCCAGGGGCATCTGCAGTTCAACCCTTCTCCTGCTACCCTCCTCCAAACTCTATTCTGTCTGCCCTGTGGGGGCGGGGCTGTGTTTCCCTTGTATCTGTGTGTTTCCTGGTCTCTGCCTTGATTTGTTTCCATCTGTCTGTGCCTGTCTGTAAATTCTCCTTACCCTGAAAAGTGCAGCCCGGTCATGTCTCCCTGCACCCCCTACGGGATGAGCCCCCACCCAGCTGGAGTCCACAGGAAGTTGAGGCTGGGGCTTGGGTTCTCTGAAGAGATGCAGGGCTGGAGCTGGGGTCCCCCCCTCCACAGAAGTCCCCTATCCTCCAGATGCCCCCTTGCTGGGCTTCCTCCATTTTCTCTTCTTGTCTTCTTGCCTCCCGTTGTACACCACACTCACCTTTCTTTTCTTCGCCTGTTCTGGCTGATCCGTTCCTTTTTCTCCTCCTCTTCGTTCCTAACCTGAGGCTGCCCTTCCAGGCTCTCTCTCCTTGCTGTCTGTCTCATTTAGTTCCCTCTCTGCACCCTTCCCCTCACACCTCTCTTCCTGGTTTCTTTCCCTGTCCTGCCTCCCCTGTCTCAGGTTCAGGTTTCACTTCTTTCCAGTCTCAGGGTAAGTGGGAGGCGTTGCCTTCTCAGACTGTAGTTTAAATCACCAGCCCACCTGCCTCGAAATACTCTGTTGGATAGGACTGTGACTGAGGCAGAGAGGGCCAGGTGGGTTTGGGGGCGTTTCCGGGACATTGAGGGAGGTAGGGGGCTCCTGGGTCTGGTGTCAGCTGTGGACATGTGGAGTAGACTCTGGAAGAGCACCAGTAGCCTAAGCCTTTGTGGTCAAGAGTAGAGGGTTTGGGAACCTGCTGTCACCTAGAGTGTCTGATCCTGGGGTTTTTTTTGTGATGCAAAAGTTCCCAAAAGCTCACAGGTGTCCTGTAGGACTGCTCTTGGAATTTAAGTCCTCGGAAGGTTGCCACTGTGTTTTGAGCAGAAAGTTTAAATTGCCAGTGGTATGGGGAACAGGCTGGTGCCGACGGGCCACAATGCCTGGACCAACTGGTTATCTCAAAAGTGTGCAGAGGGCTCTTAGCTTCCTCTGTGTCCTCTCAGATGCACTTGTACTAATTTTGAATTTACTTTTTCCTTAATTCCAGCCTGTTTTTGAAAGATCCGTAGAACTCTTTTTCATTAGGTGCTCCCAGCTCCACAACAAAGCCTTCTTAAGACCCTCAACCAGGGGTGGCTGCAATCTTTCTGTTTTAGGTGAACTGTGCAGTTGTGTTCCTAACTGCAAAATTCGGCTTGGGATTGTTTTCCTTTTTCTTATGTCTGGAGTGTTTCAGAACAATCAAAGCCGATTAAAGCTCACTTTGAAAATCAGAGAGAAATTCAGCTTAGAACTAGAATTAAGTACTGTCGTTATCTATAAAATCGTGTTTTTCCTTGAAATCAGCCTGAGCTTGGACATTTTGAGAAATGTTCAATTCAGACTCATGGGGAACTTCAGTGAATTGCTTTGGCAGTTTTTAGGAAATAGGTTATGTTTGGGTGTTCTTCCCCTCCATTTCAGATATTGTTCATAAACCTGGATAGTAGTTGAGTCCTGGGGGGGAATGGTTGAGATGAGGGGGCTATTTTATGTTTTAGAGTTGGAGTGTGTGTGTGTGGGTCTGGGGGTGTGTGTGTGTGTGAGTATGTGGGTGTGGGTGTGGGTGTGGGTATGTGTGACCTCTAAGATGCCCTGGCCCTGGTACAGTCCAGTCCCAGGCAAGTCCCGTTTAAGAGGAGATTCCCCCTCCTGGTCTCTGAGCTGCCAGCAGCCTTGGTAAATGCTTGGACTTGGCTTTGGCTTTTGGCAATGCTCAGCAATGCCAGTTAGGGGCTGATTAACAACTGCAAGGTCAACAATGTTGCTACACTGGATCACTCCGTGTTTACTGGTTTGGCTCTTCATTACTTGGATCCCTATTTCTCTCCAGATGGACCTTGATGTTGGAGAAGTGAGCCTATTGAGTGGAGGAGATTCTTTCCTGGACTCCTTTTACTTAAAATCCATCCCAGAGCCTTTGTAAAATCTGGGACTCAGAAGCTTTCTCTGGCTTCTTTATTTCCCCTGGACTAACATAAAGCTGCTTGTCAATTGCAAAACACTCCAAATTCCAGGGAAACTCCCTTGTAACAGATGCTGAGGCAGTAGAGTGCAATGTGATCCTCTGACCCATTTCTTTTGTGTGCTCCGAGACGGTACAGTGGTCAAGGCTGCACGTCAGCCTCTCCTTTTTGTTTATTTTTTTCCCGAGTTTTATTGAGGTATGAGCCTCACCTTTTTCAAAAAAGTGTTTTTTATCAAGGCAGTGGTTGGGTTTTGTCTCAGTACTCTGCAGATACTATGTAAAAAATTTTTAGGTCTTTAGCCCTTGAATCAGATTGCTGATTTAAAAAACATTTTTTTTTCTGAGATCTAGGTTTATTGAAATAGTCCTTTTCACTTTTAAAGATATTTGTTAAAAGGAAAAGAGTTTTATTTTTAAAAATCTCTTTAAATTTGATATATTTTAAAATGTATTTTCTCGCCAGGATCTTCCTTAGACCTCAGCATCATGTGTGTAATAAGTTGTGTCCTAGTATAGATTGAAGTGTTCGCATGTTAAAAAAAAATTACAAGGAAAATGCTGGTAACTAAAGGAAACATAGTATGGGGATGTTGCTGTCAATAGCCCAACTGACTCGCTGAAGATGGACAAAGGCTAAGATTAATTTTAAAAAGCAGTCTGACGTGCTCATGTAGCCTGCACGATCAGACTCCAGGCTCAATCCATCCAGCCTGCAGCCATTTCTCGTCAGAGAGGCTCGGGTGCTCTCAGTGGCCTTCCACTACGTGACTGGTTCTAACCACGCTTTCCCTTGCCTTTTGTTTCTGATCTGTTTCAGGACATGGAGGAGTGAATCAGCTTGGGGGGGTTTTTGTGAACGGACGGCCACTCCCGGATGTAGTCCGCCAAAGGATAGTGGAACTTGCTCATCAAGGTGTCAGGCCCTGCGACATCTCCAGGCAGCTTCGGGTCAGCCATGGTTGTGTCAGCAAAATTCTTGGCAGGTAAAGGCAGGAGCTCCATGCTCCCCTTGGCTTTTCAGATAATGACCTAAAACATGACCCAGCAGCTGTCCAATGTGGCAGTGTCATAGTGAGAATCATAGTGACACCGTACGCGCACAGCACTTTAGAGTTTGCAAAGCCCTTCCAAGGCCATTCAGTTCAAAGTCGCCCTGGGAAACCCCTGTTCAAGTGACGTGTGGAACGAGATGACTTAGTCAGGAGGGATGACATGTTTTCTGAAAGCCTGGTGAATTATTCCAAAGAACCCAAGAGTAAGAGGTTCTTGGGAATTTCTGCCACACGTCTTAGGTAAGCCCAGGGCCAGAGCAGGGCTGGGAGGAGACTCTACAAGTTCTAAGATCACATAACCAGAGTTTGATGTTTCATTTTAATGTTTTCAAAAAGCATATTCCATTTTTAAAAGTCAGCTGTCATTTTCAGTTTTGGGTTATCATCAACCTTATTATGTTGGGCTGCCGTATTTTCCTTCGGTATGTTTTGTTTCTTTTGTAGTGACAGGCATCCTAAGTATATATTAAATTAGGGAAGGAAAAAACCAACCAAACAAACATTAACCCAAATCTGACATTTGAAAGTTGCCACTTGACCTGGCGATTTGCTGCAAGCAAAATACTAACACTGCCCACTCTCCCAGAGGGCTGGGCCGCCTCCTGGCGCTCCTGGGTGAGCCTCAGCACGATCCAGGGAAGTGTGTTTTGAGATGAGGAAACAAGCATAGAAAGGCGAACTGACTGACCTAGGTCCATGCAGCCAGTCAGTGCTCTGCTGGGAAGAGACCTAAAGGCCTCCTAGACCGTCTGCGTCTCACCTCACCCCAAACCAAAGCACAGGTCTGTTTCCAGGCGTGTGTGTTGTTATGGGTCTGCCCCGGCAGCCAGGACGCTCTCGGGGTTAGCTGTTTGATGCTCTCTCAGGATCCCTCTCCCTGGGTCGGAATGCAACCTTTGTCCTGTAGCTCGCCTTATGGTTTGAGAACAGATGCCAGCATCGAAAATAGGTGTTCTGAAGTATGTCAGTGACAGCATGACTTTGTGGTGCTCTTTCCCTTCCCTGCTGGAATTTAAGAAATTCTCTCAGATGGAGGGAGCAATAGCTTCTAACCTTGGGGAGGCTTGCTGGAGGCCCAGGGAAGAAGTTTCAGGGCCAGGGTCTGGCAGCCCCTTTAGGGACCTTGCTCCTTGTGTCTACTCTTCATCCCCTGCCCATCGCGGGTCACCTCCTCCGTGGAGGCCGTGAGCTCCACTCACGTTAGCACTCAGCAGCCAGAGTTCAGGGAGAAGGCAGGCCATCAGTGTGGTGCTCTTGTCAGATGGGGGTTTAGGTGGGAGGATGGGAGAGAGAGTAGAAGAAGAAACATAGAAGAGAGGCAGATAGAGAAAAGAGAAAGGGAAAAAAGAAAACAAAGAGAATGATACAAAAGGGAGACACAGAAAGCGAAGTGAAGACAAGCTAGCAGAGAGAGGAGAAATGTTTTAGACTGTCTCAGTCTCGGACTTGTAGAGCCGAATGGATCTTAGATGTGTTCTTGGGAGCCTCCTCATTGTACCGAGGGAGAGAGAAAAAGAAGGCCCTTCCTTCGTTTTTGCTGAGACATCTTTGCTGAGCCAACATTTTGCTTGCTATTTGAAATCTTCTCAGGGCGCGATGCTGAGCCCTCCTCAGAGGGGACATCCAGATGCCGGTCCTCATGTTCTGGCGCCCCGGAGCCCTCCAAATCTCCCCTGGAGATGAAAGGGGACAGGGACCCTCCCAGGCCCGCGGCAGCCTCCCGTGGCAGAAATAGATTTGTCACTAGGTAGAGTGGCACTCGGAAGTTATGCGCCGCTCTGGTGCCTGGCCGTTTAAGTTGTCAACAATAAATTGGAATTTCATAGCTCATTATTTTCATAAGTAAGAACCACAGTGGACAAAATGTCACTCTAATTAGAACTGCTTTTTAAGAAACAAGTTCAGCCCTAAAACAGTATGACTGGGAATTTCTGAACTGGGGCTGTTCCATCCACTTATTTTTTTTTTCGGTCACCGTAGAGTTTGATGGGTGCGCACAGGGTGACAAATTGTAGAGAGCATGTGCAGTGTGGTGGCCGTGGTTTCCAGAGGCTGCATGGCAAGGCAGGCAGAGTCCCTGGGGCAGGCAGGGACCCCTGTCATCTCGGGCAGGTGGCAGTCTGCCGGGCAGGTGGCAGTCTGCCAGCCAGGTGGGCATTCAGTCCACAGAGCCTGAGGCTCCAGAGGGGCTCGAGAGGCACAGCCCGGTGGCATGTGAGCCCCATTTAAATCCACCTGGAAAGACTGGCTGTTGTATTCTTTCACTGGAGCCTGGCTAGGCGGTTCAGGCCATTTGGGATTGGGTGGCATGTTACACAGTAATAAACACTCAGAGGATTTTAATCCGCAGCACGTGCTCTTTATATTTTGCAAAGGTTTTTCTTAACCATTCTGCATTTCGGTCTTTACAGCAGCCCTGCAGGCAGGCAGGGCAAACATCCTCCCCTTATTATACAGATGGGGTAACTGAAGCCCAGAGAGGCCAAACGAGTTGGCCAAGGTCACACAGCGAGTTAGTGTCAGAGTCACTGACTAGCGCCTGTACCTCTTGACTCTCAAACTGATGCTCTGTGCACTGAACTACACTGTGTGTTGGTGGCTGCCGTTGGTCTGTTGTGGGTAAGCCAAAGGGCTGCACAGCTGTTTTGCTGAGATGACAGGGCGGTTGCTTAGTCTGAATCCTCACTTGACAGTTGCTAGTTGGGGGTTCTGGGACTGTCAGGGTTGCTTTCTAGGTGCCTGGCCCATGTGTCAGTCAAAAGGAAGACAGAGACCTCTTGTGTCAAGACCATAGCCTCCTACGGCTGGCACTGCTCAGGTGGGATGGCTGGAGAGAGTCCTGGGCGCTGCCACCCTCAACTGTGTAGCAGGGCAAGGGGAGGGCAGGGGCTTCATCCTGCTGCCCTCTCAGAGTTGCTGCGTGAATATTGCAGTTTCATTCAACTGACACATTTTGAGTCCCCAGCACAGGGTTGTCTGTGTGCTGTGACCCATGCCCCAAGACAGTGCCTGTCCTAACAGGCTCCCGGTGACGACTGAGTGAGAGAATTAAAAGATGCACGTGAAAATGCCTGGTAAACAGTAAAGCTCTCTACAATTGCAAGGGATTATTGTTACTGTTCTTATTTTAATTTTTACAACCAAAGCAGCATTTGCTCTAGTGGGAAGAGCACTGGATTCGGAGTCCAGTTTGAAAGCTGGGGCTGCCTTTAACTTCCAGAAGGGAGTTGGGCAAGTCGCTTAGTCTTCTGATCATTGGTTTGCTTTTCTGTAAAACTCTGCTGGCCTCTCAGGATTGGCATGAGGATCAAGACAATTCAAGGAAGAGCTCTGTAAACTATTAGCGCCTAAATAATGAGTTGTGTTGATAATAACAAATGACTTTCTATTGTGAAATTGAAAGGATCATTGGAGGCTGCAGGGATTGCTGTGTGCCTGGATTTAGGTACTTTTCTAGACTTCTGGCAAAAAAGTATTTTTTTGGATATTTCTAAAAACGTGTTTATGACTAATACCAATTTTTCAGCAATTACAGAACGAGGGTGGACAGGTTGAGGGTTGCCTTATGGTCCAAATTTGTACATGACTCACTCTTCTCAATGAAAAGTAGAATTTCCACTTCCACATCACTGCTCCTAAATTATTTCATCTTTTTCTAGAATTTTCAGTAACTTGGCCCTAACCAGACTCACCCAGGCTGAGATTTCAGCATCTCTTTAAATGTAACCAGTCATTGTTCTGGGGTAACATTTCTCCCCGGTCCCATGGGAGAATCACCTCTTTCCCTTACCTATTATAAACTCTTGTTAGGTTTAAAAATTACCAGTCATTTCTAAAATGTCTTTTTGGTTAAAAAAAATTTCTGCTGCAAGATACTCTCCTTTGCAAGGGGAAGTCAAGAATGCCTCTGTAAATGTTGAGAGAGACATCAACGAAGGCTCAGATTCAGAGAAGGAATGAAGTCATTTTTCCCCCTGAAATGATCTTTCATGGCACTCTTCTCCCCCGTCTCGGTTTTACTGTAAAACCCTGACATCCTATTTGCGTTAACGAGGGAGAGCTGATAGCATGGAAATGTCCTTAGAAGCAGCGATTTACCTCAGGGAGAGCCCTGGAAGAGCTGCCGTGACTTGTGGTTGGTTTTTTTGACGGCTTGGGTTTTGACTTGTAACACTTATTTCCAGTTAATTCTGGAGTCCAACACTCCTTTTAATTTCATGCCGGGGTTATTATCTTTCTTTTATGGAAAAATAAGTTGCATTTTAGGGGACAGTTTCACAGAATGCAGATGAATCTGCTAGGGGATGGGAGAATGGGCAAGTTAAAGGGACAAGCCAACTTTCTGGGGGAAACGTTAGCCCAGGAGGCTGGGCCGCAGGAGTGCTGGAGTGGCCACTTGGTCTTGTGTGACCCTGGGCAAACTGTCTAGCCTCTGTGGATCTGTTTTATACCTATAGATGGGGACCTATTCATTTATTCATTCACTCATTCAGTCATTCAAAACATTTATGTACTTTACAACTGTTGTGGGGATCCAATGGGAAAAATGAGTTGAAAGTTTTCTGTAAACTGTAAAATGGTAGATCCATGTGACAGAATTAATTAATTAATGCATAGCATCCTGACCAGCACTGACCAATAGGAATAGAATGTGAGTCATATATAACATTTAAAATTTTCTAATAGCACATTAAGAAAAGAAAAAATAAACAGGTACAATTAATTTTAATTGTATATTTTATTTAACCAAATATAGTAAAAATATTATAATTTCAACATATAACCAATATAAAAATTATTAATGAGATATTTTGTGTTCTCTTTTGTATTGATTTTTTAAAAATCTGGTGTGTATGTTACATGTACAGAACTTCTGAATTCAAACGAGCCACGTTTCAAATGTTAGCCTCATGTGGCTGGTGGCTACTGTACTGGACAGTGCAGACTTGGATGGAGAGCCTGTTATTTTGTTGCCAACATCCATTTTGCTGGTTCCTCACAGCTAAGCTCTTTTCTCCTTGGGTCCTAGGTATTATGAGACGGGGAGCATCAAGCCTGGGGTAATTGGAGGATCCAAACCAAAGGTCGCCACACCCAAAGTGGTGGAAAAAATTGCTGAGTATAAACGCCAAAATCCCACCATGTTTGCCTGGGAGATCAGGGACCGGCTGCTAGCGGAACGCGTGTGTGACAATGACACGGTGCCCAGTGTCAGTTCCATCAACAGGTGAGGGGCTGATGCCTGGGGGGCTAGGGGTCTGGGTGGAGTTGGGGATCCTAGGGGCTCTGCGTGTGCCTTCCCTACAGATCTGATCTCTCCTTTCACCAAGGCCCTGTAGAGGTCATCGGGTGGGAGGGATGCTAATGGGCCGGCTGAATCTCTCTTTTGCCCTTCTCTTCTTCTCTCCAAGGTGGGAGGAGTCCTGGGTCAGGGAGAGGAGGCCAGGCCAACACCCTGGGTGCCTGAGATTCTTCTGAGCCCCGAGTGATTACCATCACTCCCTTCACCACCTGCCTGTGTGTGGAGTACTTAGCAGTGAATTGTCCTGATTAGGCCTTCACAGATGTCACTTCCTTGCAAGCTGAGGTTCGAGCTCTTAGCACTGGCCCATCTCAGAGCTTCCTGGGAAGAACATTCTTGCCTCCAGTTTGGGCACAGGTTGGACCATTCAGTGTGGGGAGCTGACCCTGACTTGGTGTTGGGAGACCTTGGACCTTGTCCCAGCTCTGACACAAACTCAAAGCATGACCTTGACAGAGCTCTTCCTCTCTCTGAGCCCGGGGCCCTGGTGCTTCTCACGTGGGGCTGTGATCTCCGGGAGTAACGTCCGGAACGCTGAGATGCTGTGCAGTTAGGGAGTTGCCCTCGCCGCAGTGGCCCCAGATCTCACCCATGGATAGAAAGAACCAGAGAAATACTGTGAGTGCCAGCCTTGGCTTCTTCCTGGGAGGCACAACGGCCCCTTCTCCTCTTCAGTCTGATCCAGGATATGTCTAACAGAGCTCTCAGAGCTTTAAAAATAAACTCCTGAAAGGAAATTTTCCGCTGTAGATGGTGCAGTCTTGACTCCATTGAAACCCACAGAGTCAGGGGTGAAGCTATGAGGTGATCAGAAATGATTGCTCTCTAAACTCCATAAAGAAAGGAGAAGCCAGCAGACTGAAAACTTGAGCAGTTCCCATTTCTTCAAGGTCATGCCTTACCCTTGTCAGTGCAGAACCTGCTGGGCACAGGGGACCCCTCACCCCCAGCAGAACGAGGCAGTCAGACTAGAAAGTCCCTGAGCTCCCCTCTGGGCCCCACAGTCATTCCTGCTGTGGTGACTCAGATGCACAGAATTGCTGTGTGAGTATGTGTGTTGACCTGAGTCCTGCTGTTTCTCTTTTCTCAGCAAACCTTTACTGTCACCCTGACATCATGCAAGGTGCCGAGAAGAGAGAAGGGACCAGGCACACGGTCTCTTAGTCTCTGTTCTGGAAACCTCTTTGTCCAGGGTGGCATCGCAGTGTGCACTTAGAGGTCTGGACTGCCTGAATTAGGCAGAAAATTGTTGAGAAGGTAGCAACAGTTGTGGTGGGTTTGAGGGGAGTAACTCTTGTTCTTTTTCTGGACTATGAGGGGCTCCAATGTGCTTTGTGAGTTCCCTGCTTCGGGCTGATTGCAGGATTTCCCCGACACAAAGCAACATGACTTTTTTCCCGGGTCTCCAAAAGCCCTAATATGGAGTGAGGTGCATGCTGCCTAGAGCAATGAAGAAGCAGAGGAACCTCTGCCAAACCTGTGATCAGGCTTTGGGGGCCCACAGATTTCCCACTGTAGGGTACATATGTAATTGGTGGTTCAAAAGATAACTTTGGGTTGCCTGTGGGGGTCCCAAACCCCAATGCCTATGTAGGACTAGGCAGATAAGGCAACAAGTGAGGCAGGCCAGGCATAATGCAGTAGGGGAAGGTGGGGTCTGTGGCAAGACAGTGCAAGCCCTATTGAAGGGGCAGCTGCTTCTCAGCTCCAGCTGAAGGCTGCCAGGAACGTAGCCCAGTGTTTGCTAGATTTTTTTCTATTCTTGAAGAGAAGCCAGAAACTAGGACTTGTGTGTCCATATATTTATGTGTGTTTGTATATGATATCTCCATATTTTTAAATGGTGGCAATTCATTTCAATGAAAAAAATGCCTTAGGGGACAAGCAGAACTCATTTGCAGGGCTCCAGCTTATATCCTCTGTAATACAAGGATGAAAATTGTTTTGTGATGAATTTATCTGAATGTATTTTAGAAATATATAACTAGCACACAAAATCAGTGAGTGTGAACCTTGTGAACTGTCCCATTTATAGTAAAGAACTAATATTGCCTTATAAAATAAGTCTATTTAAGTCAAAAAGTAAGTTATTTGAAAGAAACACGAAGTAAGGAGAGGGCAGTGGTTACAAATGTGGGGAAGGCTATGAGGGGAGTTTGAATGAGTGTCCGGGGTGTCACAGGTCAGCTGTGCTCCTGATGGGCCTGGAGCTGTGCTGCGCCCTGCTGGGGCCGTGGGTAGCCTCGGGGGCTCCTGGTGTCCTAGTCCAGAACAGTGGCCCAGCTGGCTGTGCTCTAAGGTGCTCTTACTCTGTGGTCTCCTGCAGCCCTCAAGGCTTAACTCTATCCTGTGACGCGAGTAGAAACTGCAGCCCAGATGGGGAGTGCAGAGGAACGACATTTCCGAGGTAGAGAAGGAGTTGAGCCAGGTCTCCCGATGGTGAGAGGAGGGCTGGTCCCCTTCCACCACCGCCCTGTAGGACTCTGCCAGTGACAGAATGAGGATCCGTGAGAAGAGAGGCAAGGGGAGTCAGGCGGGCACTCCTACCCCATTTCCAGGACAATCTCATGTTGCTGCATCTCCTCCCCTGCAAGACAGCCTGAGCCACCCCAGCATACAGTTTTATCTTCCATATGAAGGTAAAGCTCCCACTGCATTCAAACAGATGAATGCAGCTTCTAAATAACTGTCTTGCACTTGTCGTTCTATAAGAGGGTCCATAGTTCCCTCTCCCAGCACCTGCCTCCCTTGGAGGCAACTTCTCACTCTTCCCCTCCTTCAACCAGCTAGGGATGGAGTGGTGGCTGGATTTGTAGCTGTTCTGCTGGCCACAAGGTTATCCCCACTGTCTACCCCTAGAAGTGTGTGCCTTCCTGCTGTCTTCTGGGGGACCAGCCTGTGAAGCCATGACTGACGTGGGGTTCACCAGTTCTGCTAGGCTCGTGGGCGATTTCCGGGGACACAAGCCATCACATTTATGTGGTTTCTTAAGGACAAATATTTGCTGGGACGCTGCACAACTTGCACGAGGGGTTCCTGGAATCCAGCCTGAGTGTAGCTGGGGGTGGCTGTCCTAGAGCTGACTCAAACGGGGAGTGGAATGGAGTCTTCCTTCTTCTGTCTAGTCCTGTGGCTCTAAATCAGAGGCTGAGTGTTGGGGACCGTGAGTGGCATTCCCAGTTTAGAGGGACAGCTCTATTTAGTACCAACTAGTTGTTGTCATATGAGAATGTGGGGCCAGTATTGCTCGGTGTTCCGGTTTTTCAAGAGCAATTAGAAATCCATGTATTTATGTAAAAGCTCCTAACTTACAAATATTGGCAACTAATTCAAATAAAAATAAATATACTGTGCAGTCCAAACAAAACTCATCTGGGATGACAGTTTGTAAACTCTGCTCTTAGTCCTAGCTCGGGCAGCAAGGCTTCCAAGGCTGTTTACCTGTTCCCTCTTTCTTCTCCACCCCAGTCGCAGGCCAGGTGGCACCCGTGGGCCTTCGCCCAGCGCGGCCCAGCTGGACCCTTGGCTTGGGATTCTTAGCACAGCTGATGGCCCAAGATTCTTACTGCACGATGGCAGTGTGGTCAGTGTGGTAGGCGTGGGGATCTCTCCAGCTGTCTTCCCATTTCCTTTTTTAAGGCACCATTACTTTCTCTCTCAATGTAAGTGTGTGTGTGGGGTGGTAGCCGGTGAGAAGACCTAGCCTTTCCAAAGAGTGGGGGTGATATTAAAATGGGATCCTTACAAATGTCTGTAGTACCTAAAGTCCCTTGGAGTTTTATTCCTTAGATTCTTAATGGATTGTGAATCCAAATAGGCTTTATGCCTCATATAGGAAGTATTAGCCGGGGGGCCACTTCCTTTGAATGTGGCTCAAAGAAAAGTGCTCAGGCACGGGAGCTGGGAGTCTGGGCTGACTTGCTGTGTGACCCTGGGCAAGTCACCTGAGCACTGTGGGCTTCAGTTTCCTCATTTGTAGGAATTGGTTGCTTGCTGAGCTCCCGTCTCTGTTGGACCATCTAGAATGTTCGTAGGGCACCCAAGGTCATGCTCAGGTTCAGCAAAGGCTGTACCTGTTAGTGTTAACTGCCAATTGGCCCTGGCCATCTCTGGTTTAGAAAAGTCCTGAGTGTGGCTCTTATTGTGATGAGTCTTGACAATTGCTTGTTATTTTTTAAATTTTTTTAGAATTGCTATGATTCAATTAGTCTTGTTCATCCCGCTACCATTTCCCCTCAGTGGAAGTTGACACTCTTCCTTCTTTCCTTGGCAGCTGCTGCAAGCAGACGGGTAACATCTCCATCCCCAGGGACAGCTCTGGAGGGCTCCCTACGATTCTGGTCCCACCCACAGAGGATAGCCCCACTGCAGCCTTAAAATAGGGTGTGGAATGGCTACCTTCCCCTCTCCACCTCCCAAGGGAATCCCATGTCTTTTTAAGGCATTTGTGGAAAATATGAACTTCTTAAGGTTGGAGCTGGTTGTTAATCTTTGTGAAGATACCACTGAAAATAACATCAGCTAACATTTACAGAGCACTTACTATGCAGCAGCCACTGTTCTAAGTACTTAAGTAATTTAATCCTCATAATAACCCCATGAGGTAGGAATGATTCTTAGTCTCATTTTGCAGACAAAGAAACTGAGGCACAGAGAGGTTAAGTAATTTACTCAAGGTCACGCAGCTGGCAATTTATAAAATTGAGATTCAAACTCCAGTAGTCTGGTTCCAGAGACTGTATCCTTAATCTGTGCTGCAGCTGCCTCCCAGTGATTTATAACAATGGATAATGTTTTACCAATGACTTATAAAGATTTTAAAAGAAAAACAAGGAAAACATGATTTTCTTTGCTTTTCTGATGTACAGATTTAATGGCCAGTCAGTGCGTTGAAAAGTTAGGACTTTATGCTGGACTTTGATGGGAAATAGTTACAATATATTTTACCATATATTTGTATATACACAAACCATAATATAGATAAACTATAGTCATATCTGGCATATCACATATCCACTTATCTAGCTATACCTCTGTAGACACACACATATGTGGAGAAGGTGACATACACAAAAATACAAAAATTAGATCAGCTGCTAGCTTAATTCCAGGTGGTCAAAAAGACCACCTCACTCCCAGTATTTGTCAATACGCTCCAGGTTTGCTTAGTTAAAATAAGTGGATTGAATACTGGAGAAAACAAACACTCTGAATGCATCTGAGGTGACACTTACGCTCACTCGTCCGGAAAGGGCAAAAGGTCCTGGAGGCTCCAGCAGCCTGGGCTCTAAAGGGCCTGTGGTTGGCTGTGGTGTGAACAGGAATGTCCATCCTAGGCTACCAGCCAAGGCTGCTGAGTGCCTGGGGCCCGGACCGTGAGATCACAGAGGGCAGAGGTCACAGCCCCATGAGGTTAAGGGGAGGCATTGCCACGTCTGTCCTTCCCTCCATTTGCACGAGCTGGAGATCGTGCAGTGTAGCCTGGAAACGAACTTCCAGAAATAATGGTCTGGAATGGGAAAAAGCTTTTCTTATAATGTTGAGTGCAAAGAGCAGGATACAAAACTTGTAGACATGGTTTAATCCTGATTTTGTTAAGAAAAAACGGATCATTCCAAATATGCACGAGAATGCTAGCATAAAAGGACTACACGGGGAGCTGGCTCAGTGGCGTAGTGGTTAAGTTCGCATGCTCCACTTTGGCGGCCCGGGGTTCGAGGGTTTGGATCCCAGACCTATGGCGCAGACCTATGCACTGCTCATCGAGCCATGCTGAGGTGGCATCCCACATACAGAATAGAGAAAGACTGGTACAGATGTTAGCTCAGGGACAGTCTTCCTCGCCAAAAAAATAAATGAATAAATAATTAAAAAAATAAAGAAATACACGGAAATGTGGTTTTAGATGTCTTCTTATACTTTTCGTCCAAAGAGTCTACAATGAGCAGAAAGTACTTTTATAATTAGGAAAAACTCTAGTAAATGTTCTTTTAAAAGGTAGTAGTTGGAGGCTGGAGTAGAACTTTTCCAAAGAAGCTGAACGTTTCGTTACCGCCCATCCTTCTCCCAAGTGCCGGGGGAGGAGCTTTCTTGCACACCCCAAAGGGACTTTTGGCCCGGCCCTGGTCGCCGCACTGGGCCTGGGGAAAATGTACAGGCTCAGCCTCCCAGAGCCCGAGGTTCTCCAGAAGCACATCAGAGCTGCTGGATGGCAGAGGGAAAGCAGGGCCACTGTTGTCCCTTTTATACAACCGGACTTTCCGTAAGATTTTTTTTGTTTGTTTGTGAAAAGCATTTGATTACTTAAAGCGAACAGAGTGTCTGTTCCAGCTCTTTCATTGTATTGAGGCCCACAGTGGAATGGACTTGCCCAGCGTCACAATCAAGTTCATATTAGAGTTGAAGCAAGGTCTCTGGAAAGACAGGCCAGGACACCCCTGGCTTCCAGCCCTGTGCAGCCTTTCCGTGGGGTTTTGTTTGAAGTTTTGTGTGAGGCGGGCTTCGTCCTAGCAAAGCCATGCCAGGCCTCTCCTGGCAGCGCTAAAGCGCCCTCTGTAGTTTCAGAGCAACTCATACCTTCCCTCCCTTGGTAATTTCCGACAGGTGGGATGTTACTCCTGCTGGGTCTCCAAGGCAGAGAATCCAGAGCGTGAGAGCTGTCAGGGGACAGAGAGGTCCAGGGAAGGGAAGGAACCACCTAATGTCATCAGTGAGTTCCTTATGGAGCTGGAGCTGTTCCCAAGAAAGGGCCGGCTATTCATAACATCAGCACATCATCCTCTTTCTGCTGAAGAGGCACTTGAAGCCCAGAGAGGGGTGCGCATTACCCAAAGACACCCAGGGAGGTCGGGGCTGAGTTGGGACTAGCCCATAACTCTTCCAACCCCTCACTCCCAACCTGGGTTCATAATCTCCCCTCACTTCTGCCCCAGGTTGACCCGTGACTCAGCGGGACGTGGGTTTTCTGGTTGTCCGTGCATAGCTGGTTGAGATCTCTTCTCCTCCATGATGGTAAATAGCCACTTATTTTTTCCCAACTGCCCACAGGATCATTCGGACAAAAGTACAGCAGCCACCCAACCAGCCGGTCCCAGCTTCCAGCCACAGCATAGGTAAGAAGAACTTTTAAAAAAAATTAAAAAATCTAATGGGCTCCAAATATTCTAAAGAACTTTTAATCATTCTTATGGACAGATAATTCTGTATAAAACACTTTGGCACACGTACTAATGCGCCTTCTTTGTCATTCTCCAAGGGCTGAACCTGGTAAATGAATTTTATAAATACTGCTAAAAGGTTTTGAATTTTACTGATTATTATGATAAATAGCTTGCACGATGAGACAGAAAATTGAAATCTAAGCCAAAAAAAAAAAAAAATCCACTAATGGGGGTCTATAGAATGTCAGATAATTAAAGTAATAAATCAAGAAAGGGATACTTATTCATAACATTTTCTGCATCATTAGTCAGTAAGTAGTTTTGAATGTGTTTTTTTCTTCTATCAACCAGCCCTTCTACAAGTCTTTGTGCACTTGCAGTCTTGAGTGAAGATGTGGCAAAACTTCCCAAACTTTCTCTCTCTCGCTTCAATCTCACGTCCTCTGTGAACTGTCGAGGGCTGCGCTGGGGTTTCTCACCCTCCTGGGTGAAGCCTGAGAGTAATAGTGACGTGTAAGGATGGGAATCCTATTTCTTACTACTCAAGAGTTCAGAAGTTTCTCTTGCATGATCGTGAGATGAAAAAGACATGTGTCTATTTAAAGCATGTTACCTTTCCACTTGGGATAAAGGAAACACGTCTGGTTAGCTGGGGGAAGGTTATTCTGCTATAAGAGGGCAGGCGACCACTCAGCCTCTGAGCTGTGGTAGCTACGGTCCCTGTCAATTCTGCGTAATCACACCTCAGATTGTGTAACATCTCCATGCCTTTGTTGCTCCTTCTTTAACTGAAAACTTGAACTCCTCATGGTGACGGGGGACAGGCAGAGGCCTGACTTATAGTTCCAGCTCTGCCATTAACACACCCAGTGAACTCTGTAAGTCCTTTCACCTCTCTGAGCCTCAGTTTCCCCATTTGTGGACAGACGGGCACAAACCAGGTGCTCTCTGAGGTCTCTGATTTTCCATGGTTTCCTCTTTGGATAAAGGTAAGACAGAATTCCTCCCTGCCAGAAAATAGTTCTTCATTTAGTAATCCATTCAAAAAGTGTTTGCTCAGCCCCTGCTATGCAGACCAGGGCCTTGGAGACTAATGTTATAAGAGAGGCAGGACAGAGTCCCCATTCTCAAGGGCTTTTCAGCCTACGGGGGATTGTAATAAAGAGAAGTTTTCAAAACACGGAGAGAAGCCTCGGAAGAAAGTACAGGTGCCGTGGGGGCAGAAGGGAGGGAACCCTGGGTCTGTTGAGCTGGGTGAAGGGGCTGCGGAAGGCTCTCTGGGGACGTGTTTGTGGCTGAGATTTCACTTGTGGCTTTAACTATTTCAGGTCACGTGGTATGAATATCAAACTGAGAGTAACTGATAATATTCTTTCAGTTGGGTTGGAGGAATAATTCTACTCGTCAGGCAGTAGAATGCATTATTTTGTCTCAGAAGTTTTTATAAAAACCGAATCTTATGTGTGTGCAGCCCCTTATAGATTACAAGTGTATTGAGGAATGAGGAACGGGAGCTTCGAAAGATTACATCACTAGCCAAGGTCACATCGCCAGTAGGTAGTGGAGTCAGAATTGCAGCCTGGGTCTTGAGAGCCGAGTGCAGTCACAAAGCGTTGGAGCAAATACCACTTGCTCTGTGAGCACCATGGAGAGCCTCGTTCATACGTAGTTGGTGTTGTTTAAAGCACCAAGTGACTTGTGATCTGCTTTCTTCCTCTGTTCTTTGCGCCTTAATACAGAAAAGCTTGAGAGATTTGCATAAATCTATTTTGAGGAGCTGCTTCTGGTGAAGGAAAAGAGAAGTTAACGATTTCTACTTTTGTGTCTCCTAAGGAAGATCTAAAATCAAACTCAAACATGAGAAGAAAGGCACTATTCCCTCTAGGTCTGTAGGAGCAGGGGCTGGAGAGGCTCCAAGAAAAGCAGCAAACAACTTCTCCCGAGATCACCACCGTTTCTAGTCATTTCCTGCGCTTAGAGTCAAAGGCTGCTCCACCTGCCTCCAGCTAGTTAGAGCCCAAGGAAATGGGTCTGAGATTGGTTTGTAGGCTTTAATGAACCGAGAGAGAATTCCCACAGCCCAGAAGTGGAAATTCAGCTGCACGGCTGGAGAGGACCCTGGCGACTGACCGGTCTCTCCCTCGAACTCTGGGACCTGGGGTTCCTGTGAAACTGGCCTCCCCTCCCCCATTGCCTGTCCTTAGGAACCGAGAGCCCTGGCCTCAGTGCAGTAAGTCACCGCCTCTGCCCACACTTCCAGGCAGCAGAAATCTAGGCTTTCTGTCAGTAGACCTCAGGCCAGTCATGGTGTCGCTGCTTCTTAGCGAGATGACTTGGGCCAAATCACTCCGCCCTGTGGAGCCTGTGTCCTCACGTGAGAAATGAGGTTGAGTCATAGCACTCTAGGTTCTTGCAAGCAGCAAATGAAAAGCACTGCATTAGTGTGAACCCTGTGATTGTTTTTCATTATTAATTAGTGAGGAGCAGATTACTATAGGGGTTAAGACTGTAGTTTCTGGGTTCCAGTTACTACTCTGCCTCTTATTAGCTGTGTGGCCTTGGGCAAGTCACTTACCTTCTCTGAGCCTTGGTTCCCTTATTTTTCCAATGGGATAATAACATGATCTAGCTTACAAGGTTGTTCCCAGAATTAAATGAGATAATGGCTCAGGAATGCCTGGCACAGAGTAAGTTTTCAGAAAATGTTGTTATTATATATATTATATTTATATATATTATATACAGTACTATATCAATATTATGTAATTAATATTAAAATCCAGGTAAACTGGAAGGAGAAAAGACAGTGAGGAACTGTAAAAAGAAGGCGCAGTTGGCCATTGGCGTTTTGTCGGCTCCGTGTGTGGGTGTGTGTATTTAGGTCTGCATGGATGGGTGGGTGTGTCAGCAGCCGTGAACCTGCCTAATGAGTAAGTCTAGGTCTTTTTTTAGCACTGGCTGGTGGTGGCCCAGCTCCCTCTCTTCTCCATCCCCCCACTTCCTGCATCCTTGGACAGGCTGGGATTTGAGCTAGTGCCTTTCCTACACTGGCCCGTGTGTGCTCCTTTCTGTACCGTCAGTCCTTCTCGCTGCCCATCCTCCCCCTCATCCCCCAGCAGCAGAGACCCTGGGAATACTGCCTGAGGGCCTGCTCTCATGGCCCAGGTGTGGCTGCTGCCATAGGGTGGGTGTCCTCAGCACACACACGCCATGCTCACTTGCAGTCGCACCCAGCGGGGTGTAGGGTGACTGTCTTTGTTTTGGCCAGTGGAAGCGCCCACCCCAGAGACCTCCTGCTGGGCCCTGACCGCCCCTCTCCCTCTGCGCAGTGTCCACGGGCTCGGTGACGCAGGTGTCGTCGGTGAGCACGGACTCAGCCGGCTCCTCGTACTCCATCAGCGGCATCCTGGGCATCACGTCCCCCAGCGCCGACACCAACAAGCGCAAGAGAGATGAAGGTAAGAGATGCCTGCGCAACCGTGTCCGGAATGGACCGATGGGGTCGGGGGCTCAGTCAGGGGTGGAAACGAAGATGCCTACTGGGCACCCCCTTACCTGCAGAGCACAGGAGTCCCCAGGCCCAGTCCCTTCTGTGGACACGGGGAAGGGCTGAGCCATCTGCGAGGGGCAGACAGGGAGCTGGCTGGGGCTATGGATTTCTCGCCGGCCTCTCCCCATCCTCACCTCTTGGGTGGAGCAAGGCAGGTCTGGGAGAGCCCTGGTGGCCTGAGTACTGTGGCCTTTGAGAAGACCTCACGTGTGCAGATAGGATGCCTGAGGTCAGGGTGTGGAGGGTATGAGCACCACACTGTGTCCCCTTTGTGGGCAGGCCCTGGGGGAGAGAGAGGGGCTGGGTGTCCTGAAATGAGAGGGTGCACAGGGTGTGGAGGGGTCGGGGCGAGTTCTCTGAGGGGCTCTGCACACCTCTTGGGCAGTTGTGATGGTGGGAGGCTGAAGAAGTTAATACATGATCGTCTCATCTCTGCCCTTGGGCCTGGAAGGAAGGCTGGCAGGGCCTCCCTAGGATTACAAAGATGACAATCTTCCCGGTTGGTTTTTCTCAACTTGGGCTGCCTGGGCCTCCAGAGCTGGCCGCCTCTGTCCTGGACATGGCCCACCTTAACCCTGGATCTTCTTTCCCTGGACGGGCTGCCAGCGCTGGCTGACATTAATGGGTTTGAGAGAAGAAACGACCCCCTGGGAGTCTGTAAAACCTTAGTCAGGAAAGGAAAAAACAGCTGTGATCTAGGGCCTGAGAGCCGCGTGACAGAAATCTTGATTCAATTATTCCTTCCTCGACACACTTCGCTTTCTCGGCTCCTCGTCAGGGATGTGTGTTCTTGTGAGCACATGCCTAAGTACTTTAGATCTGTGACTAGGAGATTGAGTCAGCCCGGCGGTGGGTTGGCCCGTGGTCTGCGTGTTCCAAGCACTGCAGGGCCTGTGGCCTCGTGTGGAGCTGGGGGCGTGGGAATGATCCATGGCTCCTGGAACCTGCCTCATCTCTCTCCCCTGCTCCTGCCGCTCAGAGCAGATGTCAGAATTCTGGAACTCCGCGGGTTGCTGTGCTGTGTTACTGCAGGAGGCAGTGGGCCTACACCTCTGTTGGTTTATGGAGTGATGGTGTCATTTTTTCTCCCACTGTCACCTGGACTCGAAGCAGATGTGCCCCAGCTGGGGACTGGCCGTGTCTGATCATGGTGGAGGGCGTGTTGTGTGAGGTTCCCTTGGAGACCGAGGGATCCAGGCAGAGAGTTTTGGAGAAAGAAAAAAGCTGGTTTGATGTTTACCACCAAACAGGCAGGTCCTGATTTGGGGGATTGTCGTCCTGTTGGGGGAGGCTGTGCTGGCTTTCAGTCTCTGATCAGCGGTCACTGGTTAGCTTCTCAGGCTGCTTTACAAGGTGTAGAGTGGTCAGAATGTGGGTGTCGTCCATCTAGACTGCGCTGTGCTGGTCAGCTCATTCCTGAGGACTGTGGCCCGTTTCGGGTATTGACCTTTAAGAGGGACGGCGACAAACTGGGAGTGTCCAGATGGGTGTAACCTGGACACAGAAGGATCTGGAGAATATCTCAAGGCTCTAGGGATGTTTTGGCACAAAGAAGAGAAGAATGAGGAGTGGATTTCTGCCTTCAAATATTTAGAGGGCTGACAGGGAAGGCAAGAGGAATGAGAGTTTGCTGTGTGGCCTTCAAGGCCAGAGTGTGGCAGATGCAGAGGAGATTTCAGCTGAGTGTAAAAAAGAACTTTGTAAATATGAGAGTGGTCTAGGGCAAAAAGGAGCTGCCTTGGGAGGTAGTGAGTGACCCGTCACTAGAGGTATATAAGTAGAGCTGAGGTGGCTACTTGCTGGGCTGCTGTATAAGAGTGTCAAGAATCAGATGCAGGATTGGATGATCTTTGAGATCCTTCTAGTTTTGAAATTTATGATTGAGCCCTGATCCCCAAAAAGACTTGGGAGGTGCTCCAGTCTGTGGTCTGGGGGCTAAGGGCGAATGCTTTGACGGGCCTGGAAGCTTACAGGATTGGGAAGAGTGGGATACCCAAGCAGCAACTAGAGGCCCCCCTCCTCCCTGCCCCACATCACGGAGAGTGTACACGGTTGAGCAGAGAGGTGGGCACAAGGGCCCTTGCTCACGTCAGCAAACTGTCGGGAGGAGTACTGCGTGCTGCCCCGCTGCCCTTTCTCATCCTCCCTCTGTGTCTCCCCGGATCCTTGCATTAGCTTCAGGGGAAGTCGAGGAGGCAGAGATTGCCACCTCCATTTTTTTTTTTTTTTTGTGAGGAAGATCAGCCCTGAGCTAACATCCATGCCAATCTTCTTCTTTTTGCTGAGGAAGACTGGCCCTGAGCTAACATCCTTGCCCATCTTCCTCCACTTTATATGGGACGCCGCCACAGCATGGCCTGACAAGCAGTGCGTGGGTGCGCGCCTGGGATCTGAACCCGGGCCATCAGCAGCGGAGCGCGCGCACTTAACAGCTACGCCACGGGGCCGGCCCCGACACCTCCATTTTATAGGGGAGGAAACCGAGGTCCCAGGGGTTTCCTCCTGGGTGTGGTGTGGCCTGGGGGGTCGGGAGGGCCTGAGATCCCCTGAGGCCTCAGTTCCCTGGCATTGTCCTGACACTGGCTGCCCCTCAGCCCCTCCAGAGAGACACTTTGCAGGTGGAGCGGTCTGGGGCTGGGCAGGGCCCAGGGACAGTGTGAGGAGGAGTTTCCAGCAGAAGGGCATGTTTGGCTGGTCGCGTGCTGCTGGGATGTGGTGGGAAAGTGAGAGCCAGCCACTGGGGAGACAGGGAATTGCCGGGCACGCTGGAAGGCCAGCCCACTGAGGCCTCAGACCATGGCCCTGTTTTCCTCAGGAGCCCTCGGCAGCCTGAGGGAAGGGCCATGGGGCAAGAGAGGCATAGAGAGCTGAGAGGAGGAGAGCTCATGAGGGGACTGTGCTCTGCACAGTGGAGTCGCTTGCTCAGCTCTGGTTCATGGTCGTCTCCAACTTGGACTTGGGTTTCGCCCTGTGGGCATTTCCCAGTGCCACTCCTGGTCAGGCCTCAGGGCGGGGGTGGGTGGTCACAGGGTCCAGTCACAGGGGCCCTGCCCTCCAGAGCTTGCAGGCTGGTCCGCAAGACTGGCAAGCCCGAGGTCCCTCCGATGGGCAGTGTGTGAGGTGATGCTGTGACGGGGGATGACACCAGACAGGGGCAGCAGGGCGGGGAGGGGCCGATTTTGATCAAAAGGATCTGGAAAGTCTCCTCATAGGAAGTGGCACTTTATTAAGGGAAAAATATTTTACACTGCTTCTGTTTTTAAATTTAAATTAATTAAAATCAAATAAAATAAAAAAATTGAGTTCTTCAGTTGCACTGGCCGTGTCTCAAGTGCTCTGTAGCCACGTGTGGCCGGTGGCTGCTGTGTTGGGTCACAGGCTTGAAAAGGGCTTGGCTCATAGCAGGTGCTCAGTAGATGCTCCTGGGGCACGGGACCAGCACGTGCCTGCAGAGGGGTCACGATTAGTGAGGAGGGTGAGTGGGGCTCTCAACCAGGAGCGCTTCTGTTGGGTATTTTGGGGCTTCCACAGAAAGCTCTATTTGAGTAAGAAATTCTGTGGCAAAAACAAATGGGTTAGAACACTGTTAGACCAGTGGACTGCCAAGGGCCTTTCAGTCTAGAAATTCTAAGTCTCCCCAGGATGTTTGCCTCCACGACCAGCCTTGGGGGATGTGGCTGCTGCATCCAAATCTCAGCTGAACTGTTCTGCGGCTGAGGCAGCAGGTCAGGTCCCTGGAGCCTCTGAGGGCAGAGGTTGGGCTGGTTCAGGGAAGCTACAGGGAGGCACATATGGCTCAGTGCAGGGAACAGCTTTCAGACAACACCCAGGCTGGGCCGGGGAGGGAAGCATTATCGTGGAAAGGTAGTGAGCTCCCTGTCCTTGGAGGTATGAGCAGGGGTTGGACAAAGGAGGGGCAGAAGAGCCAAGGAAGGCATTGTGGTTTGGACTCTGTGACTTTTGAGGCCTGTTACAGTCTGGATGGCAAGTGTTTCTGCGACTGCCCTGGGTCTGAAAGTGGGTCCACCTACTTGTCTTCCCCTCCTGCTGCCTGACTCTGAGCCTGACAGCCAGGTGGCCTTGACTGGGCAGGGGCCCATCACGTAGGGGCGTGTCTGTCCCCAGTCAGGCCCGGCACAGGGCTGGGGCACAAGGATGCTCAGGGGGCTCGTGGATGCTGCTGCGAGTCGGGCCGGGCTGCTGCCCAGGCCTGAGATGCAGCTTTGTCTGCTGGATGGGCCGACCTCAGAGCTTTCATGGAGAAGCCTGTGGGGTTGGCCTCAGGAATCCCGCTGGGCTGGGGGGACAGAGCCTGAGGCGGTGCCTCCCTCCCCGGAAGGCCTGAAGGCTGGACTTGGCAGAGCCGGCAGAGCTGTGAATAGCGGCCATGAGTGAAAGGGCAGCCCCAGACCCTCTGTTCCTTCCTAGGCCTTTGATCTTTGGTGGGGCCTCCTTCTGCCTGTCTCCAGGGCCCCCATTCAGGTCCCCTCGACCTCCCCCTCCCCTGATTCCCCCAGAGTCTGAAAGGCCCTGAACACACTGAGGTCAGCCGAGTGCGAATCCCTTTCACCAGCCCAGAGAGCCGCCCAATCCAGTACCAGTGTGGACTGTGGGGGCCAGAGCTCCTTTTTAGGCAATGGAGGCTACGTGGCAGGTGGAATGTCCGGCCTTCTGGGCCCTGGACTGCCCTCTGCCTGAAGTGGGCATAGGAAAGGCAGCCAAGACCCGGAGGTGGCCTGTCCTTTTCAGGAGATGCCAGGTCCAGCAAGACCCCCATGGGGAGGTTTGGGGGCATTTAGCAGGGGCTCCTGTCGTGACTATGTCCACCCCTCTTCTGGGGGTGTCTGTCTCCTCTCTGTCTTTGTGTTTCTCCCCATGTCTTTTGTTTGGGGGTACATCTCATCCAGT